AGACTCCTCGGGACTTTGGTGATTCCGGATTATCGGTTTTTCCGGATTATAGGTCATCAATTTAAATCTGGTAAGATGACATGCAGAAATTATAAAATTAAAGATATGAAACCGTAATTTATGAAATAAAGAGCAATTATGATCTAAAGGGTATCAAAATTTACAAAAACGGATGTTTAATATTTATTTGTGTACTTTATTAAACATTTCTTTCAATGCGCGCATGCTTAAAGCATACATTACGCATATTCGAAATTAGAAAATTGCAACCAGAAAACTATTTGATGTGTATTCGTGATATTTATAATGACAAGGAATTGATTTAAATCATATCAAAGGAGTACATCGAGATGAAGTACTACATTTAGTAAGGAATTATAAGCCGAATAAAATAAAAACATCTGCCCTGAAGATAAGGATAGTGCTGACAGAACAACTTCCAGTTCATTGCACGGCACGACACCCCCCCCCCTGCGGAGCAGCGTGAAATTGATAAACAGATTTGGGAATGGTTAGAGAAACAAATGATATGCCTTTATCCAATTTTTGCGGCAATTCCACTTTTTGTTTGATGGACATCAAAGCATGCTTTCGCTTTGTAGATCCTTTGGCAGCTCCAGAATCGGAAATTCTTTTTGACATAATCGAAAGTTCAAGCTTACTTTTATAAGATTGCTCTAACAGTCTGCAAAAAATAATAAGCCGGATCCAATTCGAAGATTAAGGAACAACACAATCTGCAACATTAACTGAAATAGATAATTGGATAATTTTAGCTTAGCTTATACTATCCTTTATACATTACACGCGCATGCGTAAATGTATTTTGCGCATGTGTAAACGCATATGTGCATGCGTAACGGTATTATGCGCATGCGCAGAAAGTTTGTAGCTTTGAGGTCCGGATTATAGATTATTCCAGATTATGGACATTGGAATGAGTGTAGTGCGTCACTTCATTGAACATAGAAAGTGGAACTCAACATTTTATAGAAGTCTCTACACAGTTAATGCAAAATGCTAAATTTGAATTAAGATGCTGGGTGTTTACCAATTTAACATATCAACTGCAGAACTGGAAATATCTCAAGTCTTAGGAGTGCTGTGGAATTGAAGAACTGACACTTTATCTTGTGAAGTTGATTTAAGAACTGAAATGATGGAACCATTACTCAAAGAAAGGTACTTTCTATTGCACAAAGAGTTTTTGTTCCGATTGGGTTTTGTTGCCCTATAATATTGTACCCAAAATTACTTCTTCAAAAAAGCTGGAAATGAAAACTTGGTTGGATTGATGAACTGTCAAATTATGTAATTGAAAAGTTTAGAAGTGGTTCAAGGATCTTCATCTTTTGAAATTGGTAGAAATTCCAAGGTATATGTCACTAGAAAACTGTATAGCCATCAGCTTGAATACATTCTATGATGCATCTAAATTATCTTATTCAACTGTCAGTTTCTTGAGGAGGGAAAGTGAAAATCAAGTTTCAGTGCAACTTGTGATTGCTAAATCAAAAATCAAACCAATGAAAGTAATACCAATTCCTAGGCTAGAGTTAATGGCATGTACAGTAAGCCTACGTCTTTCTGATACAGTGGAAAAGGCTTTAAGTGTCCAAGATAATGAAGAATATTATTGGACAGATTCAACTTGTTGTATTGGATAAATCGTGATGATACATGGACTGTGTTTCTAAAGAAAGGAGTTAGATAAGAAATCTAACAGATCGAATAAACTGGCAACAAGAGATCGAATAAACTGGCAACTGAGAATCCTGCTGACTTGCTATCAAGTGGTTGTTCAGCGAAGAAACTAATAGAATCACATTGGTGGAAGGGCCCTCAGTGGCTGAAGTTGGAAAAATAATGGCCTGATTATACCCCAAATGATGATGAAGAGAGTGATGACATGGAAAGGCACGAGATAGTTCTAACAGTATTCAATAATGTCAGTGACTTGTCTTCAAGAGCTGTTAGCTAATTTTTGGAGTATACAAAAATTTTAAGAATGATCGAGTAGATGTACAGGTTTGTAGAAAATTCGCGAAAGAAAGTAGAAGAAAGAGAGCCTGAAGAGCTTAAAGTTTCATGAGCTAGAAGAATCAGAAAATTTTATAGTAAAGCTCATACAATTTGACTCCTTTTCATTTGAAGATATTAAAAATTTAAAGTCCATCAGTGTGTTTAAGGATGAAAAAATTTTGCAAATCAAAACAAAATTAACACATAAAAATTTAGAAAATTTTACGTATCCAATTTTATTGCTATGTACACATAAACAACTAATAGAACTATATGGAAGTTTAATCCACCCTCAGCTTGCTGGTGGGGTGGTTTCTGGGAACGTTTCATCCAAGTCATTAAGAAAATGCTAAGAAGAACTTCACTAACTTATGAAGAGATGCTTAGCTTACTTAGTGAATGTGAAGCTATAGTTAATTTGAGACTATTAACTTATGTATCCGAAGATTCAGATGAGTTAAAACCATTTACTCTTGCAATGTTCCTGCAAGAAATTCCAGATATTGTTGTGCCAGATCTTGACCATATAGAGAAGATAAATTTAGCTGTAAGGTTACGGTACCAGCAAAGACTTCGGGAGGAGTTGGGAAAACATTTTAAAATAGAATATCTAGAAAATTGCATGCTCAAGCAAACAAATATAAGTCATCTTATAAATTAAAATTTGGGGATATTGTTTTAATTGAAAACGAAGATAAGAAGCAAGCATTTTGGCCTTTGAAATGAGTAGTCAAATTGTATCTCTGTAAAGACAGTCATGTCAGACTGATTAAAGTCAAGACATCGAATGGAGAGATTCTAAGACCAATTCAACACTTATATCCATTGGAAATACAACCTGAAGTTACTGAAATACTGAAGGAAGTCCTGGAAAGACAGACACTAAACAAGAAAATATCCCTACAAATTTTCAAGAGATACTGAAAGAGAGAGCTAACAGAAGTATTTGAGCTATAAAAGTGCCTTCTAGATTCAAGGACTTTTGAACTTTAAAGTGGTCTTTTAGGTTAAAATTTAGTTTAATTAAATATTGGTTTTGATAAAAATCCTGTTATGTATGTATGCTATACTTAATATAATATGTTAAGTATAGCATTCTTCATTAATGCATTCAACCTGTGTAGTATTATTTTCCCTGTTATGTATGCTATACTTAACTAGTATGTTAAGTATAGCATTGTTCATATGCAGTCAACTAGTGTAGTATCCTTTTCCCTTTATTTTTGCTTTGAGTAGCAACAGATGTAAAAATGTTTTTTATTATTATATAGAATAAACTTTTTTGGGGGGGTTAAATTTTTTATGTATATTATTTAGGTAGAAATGAGTTTATGAATGAACAAAATTGTGAACATTTTCTGTCGTATTTAACAAGTGTGTTACATGTTGCACATCTACTGATTTTTCTTTGCCACAAATCGGCTTAAAAGTAATGTTATGTGTTTGCTTAAATTCGTCTAACCAACCATTTGATGCTTTGAAGTTCAGTAGTCCCATACTTTCCACAACATCTTTTACCTTTTCTTGCAATGATACTTCTGTAAAGGAATACTGTTTCCTCTTACCGAGTAAAACCAGTTTAATACAAAAACGAAAGTATTAATTTTACTTGCTTTAGTTTCTCTATGTTTCACAGTTGTGGAATGTTCATTTGAATTAGTAATTCGTAGCAAAAGTCTTTATAATAGGGCACTAATTTATATCAGATTACACTGGATGTTTTAGACATTTAAAGCGTAAAACTCATCATGAGAAAGGTGCCCTGTTAATGGTTACATCATGGAACAGGAACTGTTCTTATTTGTTCTCTGAAACATCGTATACAGCTACTGCTCATTGAGCAAATGTATTCTTGGATGGAAGGAACCAGCTACCTTTTGCTAAGTTCTTAAGTGGTACATGGTGAATCCTTTTCGACAGAATATTCAGATAAAAATTTTGTGTGTCCTTTAGGGATAAATTTGTGGTGAAATTTACAAGCTTTATGTTTTTCATTGATTACTAATGGCAAGAGTTCTTGTCATTTAGTGATAGGTCTTCATTTACAATTGATGTTTTCTTGTACCAGTTTAGCAAAAAGACCAAGTTTTATCCTCTGCTAGTATGAGTTTCATCAGTTTTAATGCATAATATTGAACAGTTTTTTATCATCTTAAAAGATATAGCATAATATGTTAAAAATTAGATTTTTCTTGCTGTAATCCTCCACAAAGATTTTACTAATTGTTTTTTGTTAAATCCAAAATCATTTGCAGTTGCTGCGCTTTGCTTTAAAGCTGTGCATTTGTTTTATTTCTTGCCATTCTCTTTTTGTGGCAATAAGTTCACTGGATATAAGATAGATGTTGAGGTCATTTTTCATCTGGAGTTTGTTTACCATTTCTCAGTTCTACAAATCACCTAAAGATCTGTCTGTGTGCAGAGAAAATGTGCATCTCCATTGACCCATATTGGATGAATTCTCAAATTTAAATAATTTAGTATTTGCTGTCTACTCCGTAATGCTATAGTAAATGAAGGCCTGTCATTATTTATGTAACATGACACTATATCTGCCAGCATACATAAAGTGGAACCATGTAGTGTTGACAGATTGGAGATTCAGTACTCCTGATTGCATGCAACTTGTCTTAGATGGTATTTTTTCCTTTGTTCAGTATGAAATCTATATCATTATATAATTGTGTGACTATGTTGCATTTTTGAAATGTATAGCTTCCTTTTATTATGAAATAAAATATCTAGAAAAAGGGGGGAATGGAGACCCATTTTAAATGGATATCTTTATGCAGTAAGAGTTTTCAGCAAAGAAAAGAACTCACCCCCCCAAAAAGAAACTCTTTAGGCAAATACTGAATTCAAATTGATCTGAACTATTTAATTTCAATAGATTTTTAGAAATATGACTTTTTATTCCCCCTCCATTTATACAGTGTTTATTTTAAATTCTTTAATAACTTTTTTTTTTTTTATTTAAGGTGAATAACTTGCATCTTATAGATGCTTTAACAACTCGAACTATTTTTGCTCATGGAGATGCTGTTGTATCCAATATGAGTACTTCACAGTCTGTAGATGTTCGTGATGCATTTGTGAAGGGCATCTATGGTAGAATGTTTGTATGGATTGTGAATAAGATAAATTCTGCCATTTACAAGCCAAAACATTCTGCAAGCTACTATAGAACATCAATTGGTGTTCTTGATATTTTTGGTTTTGAGAATTTCTCTGTGAACAGGTATGTAGTTCTCATATGAAACAAAACTATTATTTACTGTATCTTAGATTTTTGTCAGTGGTAGGTTACTGTTGGATATTCTGTGATAACATTCAGTGCTAAAAGTTGCAAAACTAGAACTTTTAAAAATAATTTTGTACTAAATACATTATAATGCTGAGGAAATATATACCTGAAAAATTTTATGTGCCTTTCTTAGCTAATACTTAAAATATTAATATGTCTTAATATATATAACTTATTAATCAGGTTAAATTAATTATATAAGAGTTATAATGAATATCAGTAAACTCTTCATTAACTTCTATTTGATTCAAAATGTATGTTAGTGGTGTTTTACAATTTTCTTTATGCAATTGTGCTTTCTAATTATATAATTCATAACTATTAATTGTACATTTTAAATAATTAATTTTTGCATCATAGTCTTATGTAGCTCATGTTACTTAACTTCTGTTTGTGAGTTTGACATATAAATAAAGAACTCTTAAATAATTTAATATTTAAATGAACGAGGAAAGAAGGTTACGTCACCAAATAAGAAATATAAAGTAATAGCTGATTTGAAATTCAAATAGATGTAAGAAGGATAGTTAAACCTTTCCGGACAGATGTCCCATATGTGCATTCCCTATGAACATCTCTCACAGCCAGGGCATCCAGCCCACACATCACTGAAGATTGCACTTATGTAACGGGAGATGTGTATATGCATTTTAAGCTAAACCATTTTTTAAAGACCAGTAGATGGCATCTTATGTATATTACTTTTGAACTGAACATAGTTTTCATAGAACATAGTTTTATGAGTAAGTTCAGTTTGATTCCTTTCTGCCTAACTTTTGTGTCTGCTGTTGTGGGGGGAGGAGAGGAAGCTAATGTAAATAAACATGGCTCGTCTCTTCAACTCGCCATGTGATATAAACATTCGCATTTCTGATATACATTCGAATCCTTTTTGTATTCTTTTTCGATACTATATAGGGTCTTTTAAGGATACTGTGTGGGGGATCTGTTGTGCTTTACATTGCTTTTGTCGCTTACATTTCGCGTATTTTCTTTTTTCTTTTGGAAAGCCTCGACTTCAGTATTTTTCAGTTTATACTTCGGTTTTCAATTTTTATGGCGATACTAATATGGTAAATGACCTAATAAGTGACATGAATGAGAGGGATCATTAATTTTAGAGAAGCGTTAGAGAGCATTTTAGAGAAGTGTTAGAGAGCAATATTTCAGTGAATCTGTATGGACATTTTGTAAGAGAGTCAGCTCCCTGAGTGCCTGCCTTCCACTCCTGTGAAAGATTCTGTTACTTCATGTAAATAGTCTTTCTTGTATTTTTTTTATTATTAGTTTATTAATATATTTTTTCACTTAAAACTTCGGAATAATTTGATTAATTCTTCCAAAACGTATTTCTCAAAGTAAGCAATTTTTCTTTTATATTTTCATGTAAAGGGGAAAGATTATTAAATGCTAATTTTAACATATATTATAGCTTAAGCAATAATCTAAATACTGAAAATTATGGTGTTAGGACATTAAAGTAAAAGTTTTAGTAATTTTTTTTTTTTTTTAAGTTAGCCTCAGCGATGCAAAACTTTTGTCCTGTGGGATGATTCCTTTCAATGTCCTTCCATCCCAAGGAAATGTTTTAAACAAGGGTGCACCATCTTGAAAGTGTTAAACAACACTTTTCCACGTAATCTTCAAATTGACTGAGGCATTCGTCTGATAACAAGACCATTTTTTCAATTCTAGTTTGATAGAAAGAAGGATCCTAGTCTAAAACCAGTTCTTTGAAGCTGTTTTAACTTTAAAGAGATAACCAACCTTCTTCCTGATTAGTACTTTTTCATCTGTGGCAATAGGAAGGAGTCATTAAGACCTAAATCAGAGCTATATGAAAGATGGCTGTTTACTTCTGACTTGAAAGCTTGCAGCAATTCTAACATACAAAAGGGCATAAAGGATCTGTCATCTTCTTGAAGAAGTATGACACCTTTACTCAACATGCATGGCTGCTTGCATCAGATGTCTTCTTTTAATGTCATCAAAGTGACACAGTAACGATCAGCATTTCTTGCTGCACTTCAAGAAATCTAGCAAAATAACAGAAGTCTCCCAAATGAGGTGGATGTAATTTTGCTAGCTAAGTGTGTCATTTTGAACTTCTTTCTCATTTGTGACCAGGTGTTTCCATTTTAGAATTGCTCTTTTTTTTTTTTTTTTTTTTTTTTTTTTTTGTGGAAACAAAGTGGTAGAGCCAGGTTTTATCCATGGTTGTAGTGTGATTAAGAAAGCATTGACCAGCTGTAGCATAACATTGAAAAAATGAGACTGGCATTTTATTTATCAGATAAGGCATATGAAATCCTTCATGCTCAAACCTTTAATCACCACAAAAAAAAAAAAAAAAAAAAAAAAAAAAATCCCTAAGGATGTGTTGTGCAGTTCTATAATTCAATGCCAGCTCAGCTCAGATGGCATAGCCCACCAGCGGCCGAGCGGTAAAGACGCTGAACACTGGTAGTTCGGTCTGAGGTTCGAATCCCGCGAACGGGCTGGCTGCATGGGCGTTTTCGTGGTTTTCCCCATGTGTAACATGTATACGAGCCAGTTTCCCTTAGAAAGTCCTCCACGAAAGGCACCCCTCCCTTTAGGCAGATAGCCCTCGTGTGCTTTGCCATAATTAAATACACCAACACCATCAAATGGCATATAGTATTTGTTAATATTGCAAATCATTTTTCAGTCTGTGCTGTGTTCACTTCTGTTGCTAATGAACTTGGACATCCACTGCGTGCTTTGTGCTGGTTGTCTGTATCCTTTATTCCCAATTCAAACAAGCGATACCACTTTGCAGTATTGTGTCTACTTATTGCACTTTCATTCTAAATGTCAATGATTTGGTGATGAATTTCAGTTGCATAAAACTTATTTGCCTGTTACAAAGTGTATTTAGGGTTTTTAACAATGGGGGAATTTCATATTTTATTTACCTGTTAAATATTTAGTTTAATTTTATGAATATAAAAACTACTTTTATTCAAGTTTTGGTATTTATCAACATTTTCTATACTTTTTGTGTGTTTAATGTATAATACATTAAAAAATCATATAAATCAAAATAAATGTATATATATCTATTTTTCAAATTTTTTAAAGGAAATGGGCAAAAAAGGTGGGGAAGCACTGGTCTAACATATGTTACACCTCTTTGGAAAAATTTATTTTCGTATTAATTCATGCATTGGAATAATACTTGTCACTTTTTTAATCCCCTCTTGTCTATATAAGTTATTTAGATTTTTATCAACTTGTTAATCATATTTTATGTTTGTTTTTCTCAGCTTTGAGCAGTTTTGTATCAACTATGCTAATGAAAATCTCCAACAATTCTTTGTACGACACATTTTTAAGTTGGAACAAGAAGAATATAATTTGGAAGCAATTAATTGGCAACATATAGAATTTGTTGACAATCAAGAAGCTTTAGATCTTATAGCAGTAAAACCCATGAATATCATGGCTTTAATTGATGAAGAAAGTAAATTTCCAAAGGTTAGTAGTGGGTTAAATTTGTGTGTAAAAATTTTAGATTGAGTTGTATGATTAGTTATGCTAAATAAATTGTTTTAGGAATTACAGTTTATGTACATATGTATGTATTACTGCTTTGTAGTTTGCAATTATAAGCACATCAAGTGTGCTGATAAATCATATACTGAATAATTTTATGAAAAATTGTGCTGGAAATCTTATCTGTAGCTAAGCTGGAGGAATTTACATCTGTGCTTCTATATTTATTTCAAGAACTTGGTTTTTCTAAAAATATTCTTATGATGTAATTTCTGAATTCACAGTTTTGCAATCTAACAGGACGTTCTTATTCAGCTAAATGTTGCATAAAAGTTGGAATACAGTGCAAAGTTCGAAATTGTCCTAATTATCCAGAATGATCTGAAATCTTGACCCCTAGTCATCTTTTTTGTTTGTGTATGCTTCACACATGTGCATTTGATATTTTTTTTTCATAATAAAGCATGGAGAGTCCCGATTCTTAATTTCACTTTAGCATTAAATAAAATACCTCTATAATAAAAAAATATTAGCATAAATCTGTATGATCAATAATTTTGTTCTGTAGCTGCCTTTTCCCTTGGCATTCATGTCAAACTAAAACATTCTGAAAATCGAAACATCGTTGATTTTACTCATTCTGAATAGTTTATATCCTTAAAGAATGGTGAATAATGATTTATTACTTTTTAACTTTCATCACCACATGACTGTCAACACACAGCAGCTTTAGGAATGACTTGTGCAGTGATGTCTAAACAATGTTCTTTTTTTTTTTTAAGTATTAGTAACTGAATACCTAGGAATGTGGTAACCTGTTAAGTTGATATTAAGCTTGGCGATGATTACAGACTTCAGCTAACTGCACTGCAAAGTGTTTACAAGGAGAAATTTAATAAATTTCTTTCCAAATTTAATAAATTTCTTTCCATATACAAAAGGGTAGATTTTTGTAAATTTGCAGAGAAGATTACTTTTAGTGTAATTTGAAAGTAACTGATTTCTTATTCAGATAAGCCCAGTATCGATGCCAAAGCTGGTGCAGCCACAATGGGTAAGGCAGAATTCAAGGAAGGCGAAAGTTTTAGAATTTGTGGAGGAAACTGTGAACAGAATTTAGGACCTATAAAGACTGCACTGGGCCACAAAATGTCTAGCTCAAGCCCTGGATATAGCCCACTGACAGCCAAGCGGTAGTCACTGGACACTAGCGCTTGGTCTGGGCTTTGAATTCTGACAAACTGGCTGGCTGCATGGGCATTTTGTGGTTTTCCCCATTTGTAACATGCATACAAACCAGTTTCCCTGGTTCCTCCAGGAAGGCATCCCTTTCCTTAGGCAGATAGCCCTTAAATGCTTTGCCATAACTAAATGAACCAAGCCAGCCTTGAATAAGACTTAAGTGGAAATTTATTTATTCAGGACTCGGATAAGCCTTAAACATATGTGGGAAATAAGGCATAAGTATAATAAATAACTAATGTAATTCAGGCCTATCTTCATGTAGTAGAAGCTAAACAAAATTCAGAATGTGTCTTTGATTGCTAATCCCATTATGCATTACCAATAGTGTATGGCGAATGCTGACAAAGCTTTATGATGATAGTCAGAAATTCGAAAGTTTTCCAGATATCAGGCACAAAAAGCAAAATTTTCCAGATATTGGAATTTATAAAGACATTTGGTTAAATGAAATAATTTTGTAATAAACAAAGATAAAATACAGAATTTTTTCATTGAATGGTAGTTATCAATCAGTTAACAGACCAAAATCTGTAGTATAGCCAATTCCAGAAAATAGTGCTACCTATAAAGTGAAGTGACAGAGGACATAGCTATATTTAGAGAGAATTTTCGACACGGCAATTACAGGACTTGAACAATGGAACTTTATAAGTGAACAAGGAATTATGTCCGTATAAAAAGTTAAAGAGAAAGTATTAGCATAAAAAATGAAGCAAAAGCAGCTTTCATTGAAAGAAATGTTTAATAGAGCAAAAAACTAAATATTGAGCTTTGTATTTTATTTTTATAGATTTGATTCTTAGATGGTCGTAAATGCTTCATTATTTCAGGTTTTTAGTTTTATAATTTTTATATGTCACCCTACTAAATTTAAACTGATGATCTAGCATCCAGAAAAGTCCAAGTCCGGAATTGCCGAAGTCCCGAAGCATCCAGATCTTGGACTTTGTACTGTTTTTTCTTTTGGTTATTATATGAATCCAAAAAGGAAGAATTTTGAGTGCTTTTTCTTATAACTGTATAAACCTTTATAGTCGTTCTTATGTGTTTAAAACTAACTATGAAACATGTACTAAATTAATGGCTTAAAATGTCTTGTTCTATTTATTTTTCAGAACAGGCCTTGTTAACCCTGCATTTTTGTCCTTGCAGTATTTATTTATTTGTGCAACATATTTTAAATGCAAATTAATTTATTATTTTCCTAGTCCTATTTCTGTTTTTCTGAGTAGAAATTTGTGATTTGAGATATTGAGTTTTCTTCTCTTTTTGATGTATTATTTTCTTACCTCAACTCTCCTTTTATTTCCCGTCCTGCTAGGGAACAGATCAGACATTATTAAATAAACTTCATAAAATGCATGGAAGCAACAAAAACTACTTAAAACCAAAATCTGATATCAATACTTCATTTGGGTTGAATCATTTTGCTGGAGTTGTTTTCTATGATACTAGAGGTAAAATTTTAATATTTCATTACTAATATTTTTCATTTTTTATTCATAGTATGCACCATGTAATATTCATAATGTGAAAATTTCAATTTATTATTTTTATATGTATACGTCTGAGAATTTTGAGGGTTATTATTTCAAGAATTTCAGTAACTTGTGATGATTAACAGTTTGGAGTAATTTTATGTTGCATAAAATACAGACATTATTTAGAACAATTTTGAATTAAACTAAGCATCATTGTCTAAACTTTAAAACATGAAATTAGCATTATAGCTGCTAATTGTAGGTCACTGCAATGAAGAACTGCAGTCCTGTTTTCAGCAAGGAAAAAATTTTTTTAAAGAATTCATGCAGTTTATGTAATCTTACAGTAAACGTAAAATCTTATGTGATTTCCTTTCATCCCAAAATGTGAAATGAAACTATTATGTTTTCTTGTTAATAGTTTTATGTACATTTTATTTTTTTTAACTCTTTCCTTTTTGTAGGATTCTTAGAAAAGAATAGAGATACATTTAGTGCTGATCTGATACATTTAATACAAGTTTCTAACAATAAATTCCTGCAAAATTTGTTTGTTCATGAAATCGGTATGGTGAGTAATGTTTACTTTTTAATAAAACATCATTTGTGACATGAATGGATATGTTTTTAATTTACAGGGGGGATAAAATAAACTCAGATTTCTTTAAAAATACCAACTATTCTGTATTACTGTATTTTTAAAAATATGTGATAAATTGTGTGATGTAATAAAAAGTAAAGGAATATTCAAGCATAATTATTTTAGATTGGTGCTGTACTAATATAAAGATGTTCATTATTCATTACCTTATTTTCTCCTCTATAACAATTCATTAGTGCATATTAATCTGTTATTGAAATGAGTGCAATGGAGAATAATTTCAGTGTACCTTGGAGTGTTGATAAAACTCCTTTAAATCTCTGCTGTAAACAAAGTCAGCTAGAATGCTGTAAATTAAAAGCACATTCACAATATGATCCAAGAGCAGTCTGTGCCATTTGGCTTCATGCTGCAAGTGCAAAAATGCCAAATATTATGGATATGCCATAATTATTGTTGATTTCTTCCTTCTGTTGCAGAATTACTCATATCAAAACTGCTACACAAAAGACCAAGTTTGAATGACTGCTGTGTGGAAATAAGCAAACATAAAAGATCAAAGCCTACAGTTGTGTTGAGGCCCTGATTGTTATATTGTATCAACTGCAGTGATTGTCCTGACGTCACAATTGATACATCAAATGAACTCGGCCTGTTGAGCCCGTGTCCCATTTACGTGTTATGTGAACTACATAAAACTTAACAATACATTGCTTATTGAAACTGTAAGCATGTGTATGATGATTCTCACTTTTGTTTTTCACTGCAAACAGTAGCGATAAATGTACTTACCACATTGCTTTCAAATAGGCAAAAAGTTCATCAAAAATACAAAGTTTTGGTGACGAATGGCCATGTTTAATTGCTTTGAACTTTCAAGAAAATTGTGTGTAATATGTTGCTTGCAGCTGTGATTTCTCAGTGACTCACGGCACTCGTGTGACTACAGACAGCACATACAATCTAACAGACACAAAGACATGAAAATAAAATCTGCCTTGAAAACAATATCATCATTTTCCATAAAAAAGTTACAACTCTGTTGTAAATACAGAGCTTTTATTCTCATCATGACAGGTGCAATACAGTCTTACAAATTCATTGTTTCTATCAGTGTTTCCTGATTTTGGCTAAGCCTAGATAATCGAGCAAATGGACTAAAAAACAACTGCTCTGGTTGTAGCCACTGTATTTCAGATTGGTTTTTATAAAATTGTGCTCCATTGTTTCATGCTACAATAGTAGACAAGGCCGAATGTGTTCATCATTATCATTCTTGGAATCCACCGATAACTCAAGGGAAGTACTTTTCGATGTCTTGAACAATGATTGTACTCGAAAGTTCATATTTGAATAAATTTTGTCACCTTTGCATATGATAATGCAGAAACCATGATGGGTAATGCAAAGGACGCTAGTCCTTTCATTAAAAATGTTCAGCTGTTTTACTTCTGTGAGCTCCTGCCTCAAGTCTGTTCATGGACTTAGCAGCTTTTGATTTAGTTTTATTAGTCTCTTCAGAAAAGCTTAAAATGTAAAAATTCTTTCAATTTATGCCAAGAACTAGCCTTACAAAATTATGAGTGCTCGCCGGTTATCCTTTTTAGAATATGTGAACAGGTTAACTCAACAGTTTGAAGGTTTAAATCGTAAATGCATTCTTTTCCTAAGAAAATGCCAGTTTTTTTCAGTTCCCAGATAGAGAATATTGCATGTAAATTATTTTACCTCTTCTTCAGTAATATCCTTGTGCTTATTATTCCTCTATTGTGTTTCATTTATAAGAAAAATTTTTGCTCTTTTCATAGATTTAGTAGTTAAGATTTATTGAACCTATAACCATTAAATCCCATGCTGTTGTTGCATCAGTTTTTAATATTTACTTACATAAAGGGAAAACCAGAAAGATCATCCTGATCTGGGATGGTAATACTAGAGCTTTCATTCTGGAATCTAAACTTGCAGCTTGATAAGTAGAACATCTTTATTCCAGTGCACGGAGATTTTGCAAAGTAGGCTGTTACTACATACCCTAGAAAATGCTGATTAGCAGTACATTTTTTGAGCATGCAGAAGTAGTGGATGTTTCTTTGAGAAGGAAAAATCATTCATTTTCATCTGTTCAGTACATGGTTTTGCTGCTCAAAAACTTCTTTGTTGCTGTTGACCAGTTGGAAACTGAATTACTGTTTCACTGATTTTGATGAGGAAATTCCTGTTACTGCTTGAATCCATGGAATATGGCACAGCATTTCAACATTCTAAGAGGAAAGTGGGCTCTACAATTTGGAGGGCTCAGTGAAGTAATGTTGACTATTTTATTAGTACCTCACAGCAATGTAACAACTAGAAGGATTTTCAGCAGAATACACAAGAATCAAACTGAATTTAAACCTGATTTAACTGCTGACACACTGAATGCTGTTCTTGTGCAGAAAGTGAAATTATTTACTCACAACAATGTTTTTATCAAAGTAAGCTTAGCTAACAATAAATTTACCTTAGCAGATCAGGAACAGGAACATCCAAAAATTTATCCTAAATTTGTATTTTTGCTCTTTTGCTTTGCATCTTTTATGTGGCATAACATCCATTTAATGCTTTTTAATTCCCTTCAGTGTAGGGAACATCTGAATGTCATGATCGTAATTCGTTTAAATATTACTGATGCCTCCTCAAAGTTTGGCATCTGTACAAATGTATATCACTTTGAGTGCCTTTTCATCATACTTTGTACACAAATATCCATAATATCTACACAGGATTCTACACACATATACTGTGCTAGAGTATATCGAATGTAATCAAAGTATTTTCAGAATTGCATAACAGTAATTATGTTCAGTGGACATGATGTCTTAGAAAAGAATGAGCACAAAGTGAAATGGTTAGTCAGAGCATTAAGTATGCTATTTAATTTCTGAATGTAACTGCAATTGTGCAATGCCAGTCTCCTATTTAAAGATACTATATTTATGGTATTTTACAGCAGACAACTTACAATTACTCACTACTGTGCAGATATGTAAGTTAGACTTTGCCATTTGACTCTTGTGAGGGTGTCGACCCTGGGTGACATACAGTGCAAATGCATTCTGCTGCAATGAATAGATCAGGGTAGCAATTTTATTATCTGGGAAATATTTTACAGCTATGGTTATATGCTCATGATGATTTTAGACTTCATGTGTTGTCACAATATCCTGAGAAATGCTATTATATTTCATTTCTAATGTGACAGTGATACATTTCAACTTGAAAATACAAGAAGCAACAGGGTCTTGATAGTATTAGAATTGTTTCAAGAACATTATGACAACACAAAAGTCAAAATGTTTGCAATCTCAGTAGTAGACATTTGCGAACTTATCTCCCCAATCTTAAGAAAAGATATAAGCATTTGAGATATTTTATTTTTGAAAAAAAAAATGTGTATTTTGAAAAGAATATATTTTCATTTGAGATAAGGAAAGTGCATTAATCAAATTTCTAAAAAATATATGGTTGCAAAAATATAAAGATTTGTGTGGATTTGCATAGTGATATTTATTCCGTAGAAGTTAAACTTTTCTATATAAGGTAATAAACAAAATAAATAAAGAGATAACATTACTTTGGTTAGTTACTAATTCCTAAGCCAACTGTCTGTAAGTTTTAATTTTAGTAAACAGTTTGAAGCAGTACAATGTGAACTCACCTGGATTGGAAAAAACATCTTTGTATAGGTGATGAAATAATGTTATATCAGAATTTTGGACAATTTATCCTATCAATTAGTTTCTTTTTTTTTTATATATTTAACAGTGATTTATAACTGATTGTTAACTACAGTGAGTAACAATTTATTTGTGAATAACAAATTTATCACTTCTTTCTTCAAATTGTTTGTTGATTTTCTTTGCTTTTAATCAAAAGAAATAGGACAGTGCGGTATTTTTCAATCAGTTATTTGAGAAAATATATTTTTATCTTAATATATGACGCACTTTTTAAAGATAGGTTTTTGCCAATTTTATAGATTGAAAAAAATAAATCTTGCGACAGAAATACAAAGAACAGGGTTGCCACGCTACCTGGAAAACCGGGAAAAGTCAGGGAATTCGAAAATTGACCAAAATATTCAGGGAAAAGTCAGGGAATTTAAGTATTTTTGTCAAAATCTGGAAAAGTCAGGGAAGTTCATACAACGATCCCACCAAAAAAAACGATTTTTGCGCCAACGTCGGAAGAGATAACTTTTTTGGCGAATTATGTATCACGTGAGTGTCATTCGGGTAGCTGGCATAGAGCCAATTTTTTGCAGCTCCAATTTGATTGTCTTTTTTAGAAAGGCAAAGCAAAACTTTCCCGCAACTTTTGGTTTCCAGTATTCTCGAGAATCGCATGTGCAGTGCATGAACTAAAGAAAGTACCTGTTCTCGTATAAAACAACAAAATGGGTTTAATTATATCCTAGTATACAGTACCATGGAGGTTAGAATCAAAGAATATGTATTGTAAGGAAGGAAAACCTCTCTGCAACAGACGTGGCTCCGTTCCATCATAGAGGGAAACAGCTGTGCATGTCTGATATCTGTCGCCAAAGCTCGAAACCGGTGTCGAAGTTCGAAGGTCACGTTATCAAGAGTTCATAAAATGAATATCGTTTAAAATTTCTTTAACGACTTGCGCTAAAAAGACGTGCCACGCACGTCGAGATGCTTTTGTCTCAAACCGTGAGCGACGTGAACACCACGTCGATAAGCAGTTATCGCAAAAATGAGAATAACGTGGTGCACACGTCGCCTAACAACAAGATTGTTTATTTCTCGAGTTACAGCTCTGAATTGCACTCGCAGATGCGGAGCGGCGTAAATGAGACACTTTACCGCTTGTTACATTGTAGCGCACGGCACCGCAACCGTGAAGTTTAGTCTTAGCGCAAGTGGTTAAACTCTAAAGGAAAAGAAAATATTTTTTGGCGCAAGTAAATTAATTCATGGATTAGTTATTTTCAAGGGGAAAAAAACTACGAAAATCCATTTTTAAAACGTTTCTTGTGTGGATTTTTCGCAATAATTTTAAAACACGGATTTTCGTAGTTTTCTTTTTTGTCAAAGAAAGTTTCTTCTTAACACGTGTTTCTTCAATTTCCTTTGTACACATCGCGGAGAGGGAAATTCTGGCCCGCCAGGTTTCCGTCGCCAAATCCCTTGGCAAATTTTCCCTCCGCATTTCTAGACGGCGTAATAAGCATTTTACTGTGTATGGAAACGTTTTTCTTCTTTACATAGACGTTCTTTGGTTAGAATAATAATGGGATTTGGCGACATCATGATGCGCAATAAACGGGTCATTTTGGTCTTGGCGACAATTTTCAAAATCGTGCCAAAGCCTTACCGTATACTAGAATTTTACCGCAAAATCTTTTTAAACCTTTTTTTTTTTTCTTTTTAATAAATACCTTGCCATTTTGCAGTAAAATAAAAAAATAGTAATCAGTCATCTAGGCTATCCATGTAATATAACTATATTTGCTAAAATATCGTTGATTATTCTAATTAAATTTTTAAGTAATTATTTGTATGTTATTCATATAATTTAATCTTGCTTCTTCCCTCTAAATTTATTTATTATTAGTAAATAAGATTTCCAAATTTCAGAAAATTTTCTCTGGCATAATCCTGAAATTAATTATAGCAGTATGATGACATACCATCACAAAATTTAATGCACATATTTTTTCCTTATGTATGCTGGGAAATAAATATAAAATACCTCAATTTATTAAAATAGATTTCTTTCTTTCGTTTAGCTGCAGAATGTCTGCAAAAAAAAGCCTTATTTTATTCCAGATTGGGAAGATTCTAATCTCAATCTTCAGTGGAGAAAACAACAACTATTATAATTATATTTGTGTTTTCAAGTGTTAAGGTGCCTTTTAAGAACATACCTCACACGAATTAAATTTACCTAAAATCTAACCTAACTATTTAGCATTGCGTTGTGGTTTATAAGGACCGGATTAGCCTCATGTTGAACTGGTGATGATCATGAGAAAATAATTAAATAAAACATACATTTGTTATCCAATGTAATATATCTTAAATTTTTATTAAGTTTCTTAAGTGGAAAACTAAACAAAATTATCAAACAAAGTATACCAAGAATAATTAAGAATAAATGTCCTCTGGGATTTGTTGAATAATTAAGTGAATTTGCTACACAATACAAGTAATACCATAATTAATTTACCTCTTAGCACAGCCAACGTACATTACGCGGATAGACTGGAATTTTCTTGAAACACACCTGGAAAACCTGGAAAAGTCAGGGAATTTCATTCTCCTGTTTGAGTGGCAACCCTGAAAGAACTGCTTTTGTTTTGTTTTCATTTTTCTTTTATATGTATCATAGACTCTTCTGATCTTTACCCTGTGAAATGGTTTGGAAGGAACCCATATGTAAGAAGTGGACCATGTACCCAACCTTTGTTCAAGTGTGATAGATTATGTTATAGGTTATCTCTGCTACATTTGAGCATTTTGCTGATAAGTCAGATAGGGCTATTTATTATATTTATAAGTCAGATAGGGCTATTTATTATATTTATAAGTCAGATAGGATAAGTCAGATAGGGCTATTTATTATTTATATAGGGATATTGCTGATAAGTCAGATGTGGCTGATAAGATCAAACCACAGAGGGAAAGATGAATCTGTGAATAAATCTGGATAACATAAGCGAAATTCCATAATTAAATGCATAACTATCACATGCTTTTGCCCTGTCTAGATTTGTTTTTAGTACCTATATTCAATTTGTTAAAAAATCTTAAACTGTTTTCTATATGTAAAATTATAGACTTCTTATTTGCTGAGATTTGGGATTGTATTTTATTATCAATCAAACATTTAATTCCTCTTATTTTCTGCTTTCATAAATCAATATACAGTACAAAGTCCGAAATATGGACATCCATTATCCGGAATGATCTAAAATCCGGACCTCAAAAACCACCAACAACAACGTTTTCTCATAGGCTTTATGCATGCACGTTTGATTCCCCCCTCAGCTTCGACACTAAATAAAATACCTTGTTATTGAAGAAACCTAAATTTGTATGATCAGTAATTTGGCTCCGTTGCTGCATGTCTGCTTGGCATACATCTCAAACCAAAACATTCCACACAGATACATTGTTGATCTGACATCAACCTGGCAAATCATTATTTATTATACTTTCCTTTCATTACCGCATGTTTATCAAAACGTGACACATTGAGTAATGACTCATGTAACGATGCCTAAACAATTTATTATGCTAGTAGTTGAATAATAAAGGAGTGTGGTAACCTTTTATGTTGACATTATGCTTGGCAATGATTACAGATTTAAGTTAAATGTGCTAAAAATGTTAACGAGGAAAAATTTACCAAAAATTTTTTTGCATATGCTAAAAGTAGATTTTGTTAATGATGCTCATAGACCCAAAGATTACTTTTAGGGCTATTTGAACTATTTGTTATTCAAATAAACCCAGAACCAGTGCCAGGGCTCATATGGCCGCATTCAATCGCAGAATTTAGGACCCACGGAGACTGCATCAGGCGGTAAGACATCTAGCTCCTGCCCTCAATAAGGCTTAAATATATGGTGGGAATTTATTTATTCAGAACTCTGATAAGCCTTAAGCATGTGCCAGAAATAGACATAAATATAATAAATAACTAAACTAATACAATTTAGGCTTAATTGTCTTGGTGCACGATAGAAGCACGATAAAATTTAGCGGAGCAACTAGTTGTTAGTCGCCAATCTCACGATATATAGCCTAGTGAACGATAGCTAAATTTTATGATGATAGCCGCGAACGTTTTAAAGGTTTTCGGATAATGCAAATCAAAGGTCAAATTTTGCAATTAACGGATTTTGTTACGAAATGTGGAAAAGCGGTAATAAATGAAGATGATATAAAAGAAGTTTTTCATTGTGATTGCAATGCTCCTCAATCATCAATCAATTAATGGATATAATTTTCGGATATCGCAAAACAACGGTGAAATTTTCCAGTTAACGGATTTTGTAAAGAAATGTGGAGAAGCAGTAGTAATAAATGAAGATAATATAAAAGAAGTTTTTATATCATGAATGGCAAAATCTGTAGTATGGTTCTAGATCTAGAAAATACCGCTACCAGTAGTGAAGGAAGTGACAGAGAAGTTACTGAAAGCCAGAAAATTTTGATTGACAAGTTATTCGGAATTCTCGATACAGCAGTTACAGGACTTCAACAACATAACTAAACAAGAGATTATGTCTGTCTACAGAATTAAAGAAAGTATTAGCACAAAAAATGAAGCAACTTAACTTACATTGAAAGAAATGTTTAATAAGGTAAACAAATAAATATTAAGCTTTTTTTTATATAAATTTTGAAACCCTTTAGATCATAAATACGTTATCATTTCCTAAATCATGATTTCATATTTTTAATTTTATAATTTCTACATGCCATCTTACTAGATTTAAACCAATGATCTATGATCCGGAAAAATCCCAAATCCGGAATTGCTCAAGCCCTGACTAATCCGGATTTCAGACTTTGTATTGAATCTCATGAATATCAAAACGAAGAATGGAAAAATCTCCTTTGTACTGGCAAATATAATTTATTCCCTATATTATACAACCTTTGAGTGTAGTATATTAAATCTACAAAAATTACTGAGTTTGAATAATTTTCAAGTAAAAAACAATATAATGTACTTTGGTATTTCCATTCACTTAACTAAGAAGCAAATAATATTTTTTAATGGTCTTAATTGCGGAATATCACCTTTCCTCATCTGAGTTATTTGTATGCTTCTATTCCTCATGCCTCATTCATTAAAAAAAAATTTTATGTGCCTGTTCTTAACATATGGATAAATGTAATATTTCCTGATATCAGATATATATACTATCACTACTATAGCTGAGAAAACATAGGCCAGAGATTTTCAGAATTATGTTATTACATTATTAATGCTGAAACTTAAGAATGCTGTCTGTTTAACGTTGTAGATATATCTTGCATTTTAACACTCTGCTTGTTGAAGATTTTCATATGGTATTTTCTGAATGAAAGGTTTTTCATATGAAAAGGCCACGTAGCAAACAATCTTTTAACAACATAAAATTTTAATGTTCTGTTATTAAAAGCCAAGTCCTGATGCAATTCCCCTCTTTAAAAAAATTGATATCTTAGTATAATCACTTGTTTGTTTTTTGTACAGTTACAGTGTTACCTGAAGTTTGTCATAGTATTATATAATGTTTTATAATTTTTTAAAGGTCATATATTTTAAATAAATTTTAGCTCTGGGATGCAAATTTGTACCTTTTGATTTTTAAACTGTTTGTGGCTATATTTTCCTTATCCTTGAGCTGCCATATATTTAGATTATGAAAACAGCAGTAAAGTAAGTAATAAGTAAGGTAAGACATGAACTTTTGAAATATTTATGCCAGATTTTGCAGAGTTTACGAAAGCAGGGTTTACTCTTTTCTCTTTATTGTAACTGAGCCTTTGTATTATAAAACATGCACAAAATTTTCTTCTTGTTATCTTGTATTCTGATATGTTAAGTTTTCAAGAAATTTTCAGCTAACAACTTTGTTTCTTTAAGGAATTGATTGAGTTCAAGAAAATATGATACATTTTTATTAATTTATATTATTTATTTCTAATTAATTTAATTAATTTCTTCCCTTTTCTGCATTTACAGGGTACTGATACTAGGAAGAAAACTCCAACTCTGAGTGCACAGTTTAAAAAATCTCTTGATTCTTTGATGAGGACCTTAAGCCAGTGCCATCCTTTCTTCATTCGTTGTATAAAACCTAATGAATTAAAGAAACCTATGGTATGTTCAGAATGGGCTGGATTTTACCCCATCTATTTTATGGTTATTATTGGGGTATACTTTTGTAAGCATGCTTGTAAATTGTTTATTGTTATTAGACAAAATATCTATTGAGAAATGGCATTAGCTAATTGCTGTATGTCATTCTATATAATTTTTAAAAGATATTCAGATGATGTACGCTTGAAATGTTTAATGGTACGATGCAGTAAGTACATTTGTTATGTTATGTACGTTTACAAATATGTTATGTGTAGTTATTAAGATTTATCTTTAAATAAATGTTTGTTTGTTTTTTACTATCATTTTATGAGTGATTAATTTAACTACAAAAGGAAGCTAACATAAATCAGAAGCGGGATTATTCTGAAACCTAAGCCTAAAGCTACAAGAATTTGCTATATGTAAATAAATTGAAAAGAATTTTAATTTCATCGTATGTGCATTGATTGATGTAACATACTTATTATAGAATTTAATTTTGTTATTTTTTTATTATTTTGGAAAGAGTTTATTTTTTTCATTTTCTTTAAATTTTGAAACATATTTAGGACATCAAATAAACTTATAAAATACCAATAACTGTGTTCTACTAAGTTGTCTAATTGGAAGTTAATAATAATAGCATAGATATATAATTTGCATTTTAATGAGTACGAAAATGTCTATTTTCAGTAAGGCAAAGAAATGTGATTTAAGAATATTAGCTGAAGAATTGGGAGAAGATGTAAAGGAGAGTCATAAAATGAGCGATTTGAAAAAGATAATTTTGGCTAGCAAAGAGTACGATGAAGAATGCGCCAAAGAATGGTTAAACATTATAATAAATAAAAGAAAAGAAATTGAAGAACATAGGCAAAAAGAAGAAATTGAAGAACGAAAACGTCAATATGAAGAACATAGGCGAAAAGAAGAATATGAGGAACAAAAATCAAAGTATGAAATAAAATTTGAACTGCAAAAACTACATATTGAAGCAGAAAGTAGATGTACAAATTCTGGCACCAATGAAAATGCTAGTGGTACGCACATAAATCCAAAGTTCTGGCACCAATGGAAATGCTAGTGGTACGCACATGAATCCAAAGTTAGAGCTTCATCGTTTGATGCAAAAATTTAAACCTGACGAGAATGATATCAGTTTATATTTAATCATGTTTGAGCGTTTGGCTAAACAAGTTGAAATACCAGAAAATGCATGGGTTACTCATTTGTTTGGCTTATTGCCATATGATATTGCTCAGTTAATCGCCAGAGAAACCGATGAGATTGCAAACGATTATAAAGAAGTTAAAAGGATCTTATTAAAACGGTACAAGATGACACCTGAAAAATTTCGCCAAAAATTTTTTACGCACAATAAGAGTGTAGGAAACACATGGAAGAATTTTGCGTATGAGTTAAGAAATTTTTTTAATGAATGGATAAGCGGAATTAAAGTAGATACTTTTGAGAAACTTAGTGACCTTATTGTAGCGGATCAGATAAAACGTAAAGTGTCTCCAGAAGTAAAAGAACATTTTATTGACATGTGGTCTGAGTTGATTTCACCAATTGATTTAGTTGAAAAACTAGATGATTATGATACCTTGAAGTCAACTTTCAACAATAAACAACCGCGTAAAGAAGGGGGACAAACGAAACTCTTTTAAAGATGGTCCAGTTGCTACAATGAACGAAAAGAAAAAACTCTACGCTATCACACATAATGAAAAAGGTGAACCAAAATGCTTCAGCTGTAATAATTTTGAACACGTCTCAAGGGACTGTCCGCTGCCCAAACCAGTAGTAACATGCCGAAAATGTAATAAAACAGATCATAAAGCTAAAAATTCTGTTACTAAAGCTGAAAATAATCATTCAAATGATAAAAATTATTCTGTTGAGCAAGTTGGCGAAAATATAGAAGAGAGAAATTCATATTTGAAGAAAGCAAAACTGAATAATTCTGAAGAAGTACAGGCTTTAATTGATATGGGGAGTTCTTGTTGCCTCTTAAGGACTTCAGTTGCTCAGAAACTTAAAGTGAAACCAGAACCTGCTATGAATGAATTGTATGGTTTTGGAAATCAAAGGGAGCCTGCAGTGACCTCTATAGGAATGATTAAAGCCGATATTGAAGTTGATAATGTAAAAGGCCAAGGCATAAATATATACCTTGTGCCTGATAATGCACAGCCAGTTGATCTAATCATCGGACGGACATGGCTTGATCTACCTCACATCGCTTATGTCAGAATAGGAAAAAGATTTCACTTCGGGTATAGGGAAGATGAACTATTTAGTAACCTCAAAATTGATGAAAAAATAAATCCAGTCTGCCTTAAAGCTCTTGAGGAAAGTGAATTAGAGACAATACGATAAATCTTGTCAGTTCTCAAACAGGTAATGGATTAATTATGATAGAAAATCCTTCCGAAAGTATTGGCTGTTTATTAGAAATTAAAAATGGCGAAATTTGTATACCAGTGATTAACGTTGGCGATAGAAATGTTAAGCTCCAAAAAGATCAATTCGTTGGGAGAGCAGAAGTTGAACTATGTTTAAATATTGAAATTTCTGAATTGAGCTTGAACTTAACAAAAACGGAAAATATTAACAACATAAAAGTTCCTATAAGTTTAAGCCAAGTAAAATTGGCTTGGATCTCGACATTGATCACCAGCAAGAGTTATTGCGTTTTTCGAATGAATACAGAGATTGCTTTGCATTGAATATTTCAGAATTTGTGTGCACTGATCTCATAAAAATGGACCTTAAAGATATATTCATTTATCAAACTGCAGTAAAGAAAAACAATACAAAAAGTGTTGTTCGAAGTGTGAGAGATGATGAATTAGGTGCATTTGAAGTTGTTCGAGAGAAGGGGAATGAAGCTGCAAATCTGATTGGACTGAATTTCACTTCAGTGAAAAATAGTCCTTATGCTGCAAATAGAAATCGACACTGTGGCCAACTGTCTCTAAACACCACTTCATGCCAAACATTTATTTAAAGACAGAATGACGAAAGTGATGGTAGTCAGAGCCAAGAGAATGCAGATGATAAGCAGCAACTACAACCTCAAAGGCCCGTACGAAGGCAATTACGTCATCCTTACTTCAGGCAATATTGTAGTTATCTATTCATAGGACTTCCATGAAACGTTGGACGGGATGGAAGTGAAGATGAAGAAAATGGAAGAAAAAACGAAGAAAGAGTTTCAGGAGGTGGAAGAGACAATCACTGGAATCCTAAACGATTTTATCAAAGGTGTTTTAATAGTAAAGCCCTCTATCATAGGAATGACATTGAATGCAGTCAAAGTAGAGTGGAAGGAGAACCAACCAAAACTCAACCTAAGTATCGTGGCCCAATGGTTGTGACAGAAGTACTTCCAGGTGACACTTATAGAACATCACAACTAGAAAGAAGACCTCCGATGGTCGCTTTTATGCATCAACTTCTCATGTAAGTCACTAAAATCTTGGGGAAAAATGCAGAAGCAAATGAATGATGATGGCAATGACGACGATGGCGATAATGACGAGGATTATGACGAACTTAAAGGCCCAAGTGAACAGTGCGCAAACAATTGTGCTGTTGTGCTATAGAGACTTTGTATAGGACTTATTGAATTTTTTAAATTATATTTCATTTTATTATTTTTTTCCTACCTATTATTATATTTTTGCTGTTGTTTATTTGTCGTTTTATTGTATAAGATTTTGTTCAATTGAGGACAATTGAAAAGTCAGGATGGTCGAATGTAAGCAGGATTGTGAATTGTTTATTGTTATTAGACAAAATATCTATTGAGAAATGGCTACAGCTAATTGCTGGATGTCATTCTATATAATTTTTTAAAGATATTCAGATGATGTACGCTTGAAATGTTTAATGGTACAATGCAGTAAGTACGTTTGTTATGTTATGTACGTTTACGAATACATTACGTGTAGTTTATTAAAATTTATCTTTAAATAAATGTTTGTTTGTCTTTTACAATCATTTTATGAGTGATTAATTTAACTACAAAAGGAAGCTAACACATTTTACATAATTTCTCAGATCAGTATCAAACATGGAGTATAAATTAACATATAAAAGCTTCCAAAAGCAACACAACTGTGTAGCTTAATTTTTCTAGTAAAGAAAGTAATTTTATTGCAAAATCAGGCTTTATTTTTACAGAAACATGTAAAAGTTTTAAAGCCCCTGGTGTAAGGAAATACTCTGAGGAGCATTTTGGGCATCACTTCAGTTATAAACCACTTTAGTTGGAATGTAATCATTTTGGAGGAAGAATAAAATTGAAGTGTTAAACTGAGTTTTCTAAATCCATATATGTCCAGACTGAATGTCATCTAAGCCTTAAATATGATCTGCACATATAATGGATCTTATGTATATGATACAGAATTAAATATATGTAAAATCTATTGTATTACAGTAATATATGGAAATCAAACATATAGTTATGGATGTCATGAAAAGTACCTATAAAAATATTTCTTTTTTAAACAAGACTTTCTGGTAAAAGCTGTAGCTGAACAACATATTTCCAGTATCTTTTTGAAAAACTGAGCTGTTGAAATTTTTAATCACACTTTAGTTTTGTTTAAAATATGGGGCATATTTTGTTATCAGACTAATTTATTTTAATAAATTTCTTTAATATAGTGTTTTATGATCTTAGAAAAGGAAAATACTATGCAAATTTATTGCTGACATTTAGTAAGAGGAATGTGTTTTTAAAACATTTTTCTACATATGAGTCAGAGAAACTTTTATTTTTAAACTTTTACTACAAAATAAACTGATACAGCTGGAAGGAACTTTTGCTTTTTACTGCTGTTATTATTTATTTGTTATATATGACAAAGCAGGTTTCTTTGTACTATTTCAGAATTTTCACATTCTTTCATTAAATATGTTATAGTTTTCATTTCATCTTGTCTGTATATTTGATTAGTTCATACAAAATCAGATATTGAATTTTACCATACAAATATAGGCTTTGAGCTCATATTGAAATATTTGAACTTCTTATTTTTTTGTTCTGGAAAATTACTTCTGCAGCAGTTAGATGTATTAAAATTCATAACGCTTCTAAATATATGGAACTGTTATTGATGTAATGTGAATATAAACTGGTTTTCCAAGGAAAATCTTCCATGAAGGCATCCTTTTCCTTAGGCAGATTGTCATAGAATGTGCTTTACCAGAGTCCAAAATAATGCAATCCAATTTTGTTTTTCATTTGTTTAAAGGAGTAATAGCCTGATACTGTTTGAAACAAATCAGGTGTTTTAAAGGGTAGAAAATAATCTGTAATTTTTTAAAATACTATTATGTAATTTGGTTTAAGTAATGCATTAACAGACATTTGGTTTGCATTATATTTGTAAAATAAATTGTAATTTTTTTGGCTAAGATGTTGATCTTTTTTATGTACGTATTTTTTCAGATGTTTGACAGAGAGCTCTGTTGCAAGCAGTTGAGGTATTCTGGTATGATGGAGACAATTCGTATTCGACGTGCTGGATACCCCATCAGACACACGTTTAAAGAATTTGTGGAACGATATAGGTTTCTTATTCCTGGAGTTGGACCAGCTCATAAAACAGATTGTAAAGCTGCTTGCATTAAAATTTGTGCCATTGTATTGGGTAAAACTGACTACCAGCTTGGCCGTACTAAAGTTTTCTTAAAGGTTAGTTTAAATTATCCTGTTTGGTACTTGTGTAAAGAATTTGCTTTCTTATCTGTTACATTTTTCTGACCAATGCATATTTTATATAAGCTAGTATAGTGTTAAGTATCCTTTAATTAATTAATTTTCTTCTGTTCTAATTAAATGCTTATGAGACTTACTGACTTTTTATGCTTTAGGCTTAAAGTATTTCCTTTGATTTTATTGCATCATTGGTTTTTTTTCCATCAAAAATGCATGCTAGACTTAGTTCTGAATTCTAACATATGTGGAAGTATTTTCTCAGTTGCCTATTTTTTCGATTACCGATCAAGTTTTATCAGCATTGCTGTTATAATTTAAGGCAAGAAAGGAAAAAAATTCTGCTTGATTTTCAAATAATTTTTTAAGTGAAGAAGGAAGCAAAAGTGACTCAATGAATAAAAATTAAAAGCTTTTTTATTAAATGCTGCAAGTAACATTTCTTTAAAATATTACAATATAACAATCTTATTTTGGGCAATACTTCTGGACTGCAGAATTGCTTGTTAGTATAACTAAAAGAAGCAAAAACTCCTTATACCTTTCCATATTTACCAGAAGTTCTCATTGCGAAGAATTTATTGAGATATCAAGTAAATCAAAAGTTCTGCTAATGTAGGTCTTTACTTAACTGCTGAACATAATAGTAGCTTGTATGTATATATATATATATATATATATTATATTATATAGGAATTTTGTCCATAGATAAATGATTGTAGTGCAGTTATATGTGAAATTGTTGTATTTTTCCATATAATGTAACATAAAAATCTAGAAACTATGCTGTGCTGGAAAAGTAAGAATAGAGGGGAAAATCTATTTAACATTGAGTAAATGACTATCTCGCTGATTTGGATATGTATCGCCAAGCTGGCAACGGTTTTAGCAACTAAATTTTGTTGCAAATTTGGCGAGAAATCTCTGAGAGTTGTCAGACTTGACTACCATTTAAGGACATTTGGTCCCTGTATAACTATATTGTAATTGAATAACTGTGATGTTCAGTGTAACTGTACCGTATTCGGCCCTCATATGCCTTGCAGTAATTTCAAGAAGCAGAAAGTGCTGGAAATATCTCAGCAGCCAGGTAAAAACTATATAAGACCGAACAGGGCATCATCTGCTCTCATTTGTTAATTCAGCATGAGTTCTGACTACTGAGATATCTCTGTGTTAACTTTACTCTTTAGATGTGCTTTCCATTACATTCCATGTAATGTTCTTAGTAGTTTGATGTGTAACTACTGATTGTACCCTGTGATACTGTGAAAGTTCTATGGTTATTTTTCTGAAAAGTTCCAGAACTCTGAAGTTTTTGGTAAAGTAATTTTTATCAAAGTATCATCATTGCTGTGTATCATCATTGCATTCAATATATTATGAACCCATACGCATGCAACAAATTTTGATGTAAGTAATGGGATTGAATGCCAGTAATTAAAGCACTGGAGGAGTTGTTAAGACATTTGCTGCATTCAAAAAAGAAATGAAAGCAGGCCAAGAAAAGATTGAAGCTGGTCAAGAAGAAATGAAAAGAGAAATTACTGCCATAATAGAAAACAAATTCAAGGATATGGAAGGCAGAATAGACAGAGTTGAAGACAAAGTTAGAGACATTCAAGAAAGAGTTCCTGCTGTGGAAAAACAAATTGAAAAAAGAGTTTCTGCCATCCAACAACAAATTGACAGGGTTTCAGCTGCTATCACCAAAGAAACTGAAGTTTGAAAAATCCATAACGACAGCTGGTTACAATTCTAATGCCTTTAAATTCAAACATATGTTGCCAAGAACTTCTCTAAAGCTATCCACATATAATGGACAAACCTCCTGGCAAATGGATGAGATTCCAAAGCAAAAGCCTGCCATTTGGCTACTTCATTGAGGGCAGACATAGCAGATATCCTTCAAAATCTTTCCGAAAAGCAGAAGGTAGAAGCTCTGTCCAGTGCATTGAAGCTGTACTTTGGGGAGAAGTGTTTAAAAGACTATAGCAGGCTTCAATTTAAAATATTGCCAGCAGAAGCCCAAGGAAACACTCCAGGAGCTTGCCATGGATGTTGAAAGAATGTCTCATCTCGCCTCTTCGTACAGCCCATCAGAAACAAGAGAAATCCTGTCCCTGCAGTGATTCATCGATGGCATCCAGGATCTTGAGATACAGGAAGTCCTGCAAATGGCAGATGTCATGTATTAAAAAACACTGTAATATTTGCCATGAAATATGAGGTAACTAAGCATGCAACTCGTAGAGACCACCACCCACATAGAGCTGCTCAAGTCCAGGAGCCGCTGGATCAAGCGACACCTTACTTAGGCGATTTAACAAGTCAGTTCCTTGAGATGGAATAGGAGAGACAAGACACCAACCCTAAAGTGCCAACCTGAGCTGCTGAGTCCGGGCATATGCCAAGTTATGAATCCAACATCATCTGACACAGACCCATGGAATGACGAAGGAGTCGGGAAAGAAGCAGTTGGAAGACAGCAATATTAATCCCATAATTGAATTGATGGTGTCTTCAAACAGAAAATCTTCCTGGCAGGACATTTTAGTCTGTAGCCCGATGCCAAAACAATATTGGTCTGTCTGAGACTTCGGCCATATTCAAAATGGCTTCTTGTGCTGGAAATTCGAGTCAAATGATGGAAAAGCATTCGGATGGCAGCTGATACTCCCAAGATCCCAGATTCCATATATTCTTAAAGAATTACATAGCTGCCCTCAAAGTTGGTTCCAATCATGCGATGCTTGTGCAGGTCAGAAAGGACTAAGGAAACACAGCTGGGAAAGCTGCAACATTGTAATGCGTTAGCACCTTTTGAACGTATTGCCTTTGACATCTTTGGACCTCTGCCATGAACTGCTGATGACAAGAAATACATCCTCATTGTCATTGATTACTTCACCAGGTGACCTGAAGCATATCCTATTCTTGATCAAGAGGCTACTACAGTACCATAGGTAATGATACAACATTGCATTTCCAGAGATGGACTGCCTGTTCAGTTACATTCCGGTCAAGGAAGAAATTTTACGTCGACTTAATTAAAGAACTCTGCACTGGAATTCATTTAAGGTAATGTTTTGAAAATGAACTTTAAAATGTTAAAGCCATTGACTGATAATCTGACTGTATGGATAGAGTAATTTTTGTTTTTGATGGTGGGAATTGATATTTTTCAAGTTTATATATTTCCTTGATTTCTCGAAGAGAATATCTTTTTTAAAAAGTCTCATCAGTGGTCAAGTGCTGGAACTGCAGAACATTAATAGTTCATAGCTTTAAAATTTTTTAAATGTGATTTGCTAATTCCTGTAGTGTCTACAATTTCCTGCAGATTAAAATATACAACTTTCTTATAAATTTTCATAGAATTTCGAATTTTCTGGGAACTGGTTTTGTTACAGAAACAAGGACAGCTGGTGCTGAATCTCAAGCTTTGTCATTAATAGTTGCAATAGAGTATCTTGTTATTTTTTAATGTCTGCTCTGAAAATCAGCAGTTAAAAATCTCATTTCCTGAAATTTTATGTTTCTTAATGGAGTTATTATTAAAATTTTATTTGCTCTTTAGCTTGGCATAGGCATAAACATCATCATTTTCAGCAGATTACTGAGACGGATGCAGCACAGTACTTTTAAGTCATTGCATGCGTCTGTTCAGAAAAATTTTTAAAATACCCCTTAAATTATGTAAAGTGTCAGTTCTAGTGTGTTTCAAACATTTACACGTTCTTATAATAAACCAAATGACTAAATGCCAAATAGGTTCATGAAAGATAACATTATGTTTACTTTGCAATCTTAAAAAATACTTTTGAAGAATGTGATCAGTTCAGCATCAGCAGTTTTTTAATGACATGATTCTGGCTGCTAAATGCAATTCAACATTTTACTTTTTTTTTATTAATTTGTCTTGCATATTGATAATCATTTGTTTTATGCAAATAATTTAATGACATTTTCTTCATTGCTCCATCAGTACAGCAAATATTAATGGGGTGTTCAGAAAATAATTTTGTCTTTTTGCCACCAGGAGGATTAGTTTATTTCTAGCCAATATTCATTCTAACCTGTATCGTCATTTTATGTTTTTGCAGTCATTTCAAGCATATTTGTAAAACGCTGATTGTACTTATTTGTAAAAAAAAATTGTTTGATTCTTTACAAATTGCTTTATTTTTTTTAATGTGATGAATGTGTTCGTCATCAAATATGGAAAATAAAAATGAGAAGAGTGATATGAATCCTGGTGAACAGGCTGGCTGCATGTGCGTTTTCGTAGTTTTCCCCTATCTCTAATGTGCATACGAACCAGTTTCCAATAGAAAGTCTTCTATGAAGGCATCCCTCTTCTTAGGCAGATAGCCTTCATGTGCTTTGCCATAATCAAAATAACCTAATCCAAATTTAAAATGAGAAGAATGCTGTTCAGGCAACAAGTACATCGTGTGATGTGTATAAAGAAGTTGTGAGAACACCAGTGTCAAACCTGATTTGCAAAATTTCGTTCCAGAAGTTTCGATGTTGAAGATGCTCCATGTTCAGGAAGTTCAGATGAAGACAAAATAAAGGTACTGATTGAAGCAAATGCCAAATAACAACATCCAAAACACCTAAGAGATTAAATATATTAAAATCAGTTTATGAATACATGAGCTGGCTCAAAATACTTCGAAAGTCAATATTCCTTAACAAAAAGTGATACTGTGTATTTGGTGAGATTTTAAACAGTTGCTTTTTTTTTAAGTTTGTACCAGACAATTCCACAATTGATTTGAAATTGTATTTCTGTCAATTGGACTAACTGAGTGATACTATCAAACAGAAAAGTCCAGAATTTATAAACAGAAAATGTGTCATGTTTCACTCTGATAATGCCAGACCTCACAGAAGTTGGTAACTTGTCAAAAGCTGTTACAGCTTGGATGGGATGAGCTATCAAATCCACCATATGCATCGTATTTGGCACTTTTGGATTATCACTTATTCTGGTCTTTGTAAAATGTTTTAAATGGTAAAACATTACTTCAAATGAGGATGTTAAAAATCACTCAGATCAGTTTTTTTAAGTATAGCTCAGAACTTTTATGAATATGTAATCATGCTGCTGTCAGAAAGACAGCAAAGGTATCAGAAAAAATTATCAATATGGGATTCGATAAAATATATTCTGAGAAAATTGTTTAAAAGGAAGAAAAATTACCCAAAAAATGCAGTATTATTGCTACTACCTTGCACTAAATTCCTAAAAAGTCTTCCTGGTGTTATATCCCTATAATCTTGTTCAAAACGATTGCAGAACAGCCATACATGAAATGTATATTAATTGAATTTTACAGTTTGAAAGCATTAGCATACTCTTAAAAGAAATGTATAAAATGTCATTATCAGTACAGCATAGTTCATATTGTAATTCAGATAAAGCACATTCCAGTCATTAACAGTAATCTTATATTTTGAGTAAGGAAGCTTGTGTTTGATTGGAAACACATCCCTGTCATCTCAAAAGCTGCTTATTTACCAGATTTTTTTGCTTCGAAATGGTCATGAGGGATCAGTGTTTCTAGATTAAATCAACCTGTCAAAACTGACAGCCAGTCTATGATAGACTTCAAAAGATGCAGAAGCATTGGAGCAATTATGTATGTTCTGATGGATGTTGCTTTGAATGGGACTGAGTAATAGTTTAGCACATTTAAAATGGAACTGCCCTTCAAATATTTTCTGCAACCTTTTTTTTAATAAAGGAGTATTTTTGTTTTGATGTTCTCTTTAAACTGTATTATTTCTATAATTTAAAACTGAACCTTTAGAGATAGTGCCTATATATTATTTAGTTTTTCAGGATGCTCATGATCTTTTCCTTGAACAAGAACGAGACAGAGTGCTTACAAGGAAGATTCTTATATTGCAAAAAGCAATCCGAGGATGGTATTATAGACGCCGTTTCTTACACATGCGCCAAAGTGCTATTATTGTACAAAGATTTTGGCGTGGTTACATTCAGAAGCAGCATTATAATTATGTGAGTATTTAAATGATAGTTATAAATTAAATTTGAACGCTTTGTGAAATGTAAATTTATAGTCGTTTGTATAAAGTGTATGAAACATCTTTGTGCCCCAGCATGCTTCATATTTCAGTCTTCCATGCAGACATAATCCTAATATATAGTTTGGAGTTTCTAATATTTTGAATCTAATACTTCAGTGACTCTCAACATAATTAAATGTTTTATTACATCTTTACAAAACAATGTGATAGCAGCTATCATATATTGTTCACATTAATGGCATATTTTCTTTTCATATGCATAATCCTTGCATATTAGTTCATTTGACAAGCTCCTTTGTTAAATATCTTAATTAAATCAGGTTACTTGCAGTTGTATTCAGTTTGCTAAATCTGCTCTGATTATATCATCTATAAATTAAAATCAGTTATCTTTGTTTATGTGATATAACAGTTGTTTCTTTCTAAAAAAATAAGACATGAATTTCTTAATACTTCAAAAAATCAATAATTCGTGATTAAGAATTTTTCTTATATTCTTACATCTATTTGTTTATAAAGACAGTGATTCTGAAAAAAGTAATTAGCTGTATACAATTATTTATTTGAAAGCATATCATGATTTAGAAGTCAAACAAGAAAAATCAGCTTTATATTAGCAAGTTTACACAGAACTAGTTTCGAGGATTTTACAAAACCATCATCCTTAGCTGCCAAAGTGCAAATGAACAAGATAAGATATAATGATTAGATAAGAATAGTTGGACAGGAGTTAAGCTACTGACGTCATCTATTGACAATGTGAGAACTAAAACATAATTTCCTTAAAGGCTGAAAGCAAAGATGGAAATTAGGGTCGTTAACTAGAACAGAAAAATTTTTTTTAATGTCAAACACCTCTAGAAAGTCTCATTCACCAATGGAAGATGTTGTTTGAGTAATTTTGGCTGCAGAAAAATTGAAAGTGTGATTTTTGGACCCACACTGCTGGGCAGCAGAGGGATTGTGTTTCTTTTTTTCTAACTTGCCTCATGTTCCTTAACACAAAATTTTAAGGCTCTCTTAGTTTGACCAATGTAAATTAAACCACACTGGCAAGGAATCATGGAAATACCCCAGAAATTCATATCCAGAATTGGGTCCTTGAGTATGGAACCCAGAATTTTATAGTTAGGAGAATAAACAACCCAAAAGTTAAATTTTTGTAAAATGCATGCAATTTTATAGCTAATTGATAGAAAGAAATAAATGACTATAGAATTAATATAATCTCCTAAAACAAGTGTCTTTTGATGTGTTGAGGTGAGAATTTTTTAACTGCTTGATTAATAATGTTGGCTGAAACGCCCTGTCAACAGCTACTGCTTTTAAATAATTTAGTTCTTGATCAAGAGCAAACTTGAAGTGCATGGGAAACATAGGAATAAAATGTAGCTAACTTTTGTTTAGTCAGATGACATGATTTGAAATGTGGAAAGCAAACCGATGAAGCTTTACAGTAAATGATAGTGCTGAAGTTGGATGCTTTATATGTGACCAAATTGTTGAAGAATGGAAGAGAATTGCATGCCTGAAGTCCAAAAATGAACTGAATAGATAAACTTCGAGATTAATACTTGTTCACCATGTTATTTTATCTTAACGTATTATGACATTATCCAAAATAATGCAGTGAACGTACTTTGTGTAGTAATTTATATAATAATCCGTATCTTGATTTTCTTGTGTCATTGTTTTAGATGAAAACTGGTTTCCAGAGACTTCAGGCTCTTATTAGGTCAAGGATATTATCTCATCGCTTTAAGCATCTGAGAGGACATATTGTGACTTTACAGGTTCATTTAAGAAAATTTTGTATAATTCATTATTAGTTTTCTCAGTTTAAGCATTTTACTTATATTCATTCCGTGTTTCAATTTGTACTTCTGTGTGAAATTTATTTATAGGCTAGATGTAGGGGTTTCTTAGTACGAAGAGAGCATATGAAAAAAAGATGGGCCATAACAAAAATTCAAGCCTTTGTTCGCCGTGTTGTAGCCCAGCGTAGGTACAGAAAACTAAAAATTCAGGTATGTCAAAATATTTAAATTTCTGTACCGTACTCTGTTTTTAAAATGAAAATAATTAGCTTAACTAGCTTAGGAATTTTTGAGATTTACACGTAAATTTTTCAACTTTCCTGGAAATATTATATTAAACTTATTGAAAAAGATCTTGCAAACGTAATAGCTGTCCACTATTTGTTTATTTTAGTGAAAATTTATTATTGTTATAATTTTTCTATTTTATATGTAGCATGTTTTTTTCTATCATATGTATAAATATTAATTCCTGGTATTGTAACTTTATTTATTTATTTATTTATTTATATTTGTGGATATGATGGATTTCTCCTGTATGTTACTTATGGGATTCCTTATCCCTTTAGAATCGACATCGTTTAGAAGCATTAAAAATGAGGGATCAAGAAGAGGCAATGTTAAGGAAACAAATGAACCCTAGAAAAGCTAAGGAAATAGCTGAACAAAAGTACAGAGTGAGTTTTTTATGAATTTTAAAACTTATTAGGACTTATTTAAGGTACATTAAGATAAATATTGTATTAAAATTGTTAAATTACAGAAATATTTTATTAAAATGCAATATTTTTTTTAGGAAAGACTTCAAGAGTTGGAACTTAGGCTCCATGAGGAAGAAGTAGCTGAAAGAATGAACATTGAGCATAAAAAAGCTGTTATAATTGATGCTTTTAATCGTCAAGAAGAGCAGCTGGATGATTCAAAATTAGTACGTATTTAATCAATGAAATAAAATCATATTAATGACATTTTTCTTAAATGTATATTTTTAATTCGCTAAGTTAATTAGTTCATGTGAAACGTAAAAGCTGAAATAACAAAGTATGTATGTTGAAAAATAGTAACGGTGGACTTAATTTTTTTTTTTTTTTTTTTTTTAATCTTGCATAAAAACAGGTAGATGCCATGTTTGATTTCTTGCCAAGAACAGACTCTAGTAGTGATCAAACAGCCCCTACAGCTTTTAAAGTGAGTATTAAATGTGAACTATCAACTTTTATAGTTATTACGTAATTTTTATTAAATGTGAACTTTATCAACTTTTATAGTTATTACGTAATTGAGGCATCATTAGTTTGATCCTGCTTGGATATCACACAAATTATTTATGTACTAAAGAAACCTTTTTTTAGTGAATTTTTAAAGCATAAAATGGTAAAGTTACTGATTTGTGTATTTGATGCTAGTAATTGAAAAGCCCACTGAGTGGCTAAAGTTGGATTTGATGCAAGTGGTTTATCCAGAACTCAATTACCAATAGAATGGGCTGACTGCTTTCTTATTTTCATAAATTTCCTCATACATTACATAAATGTGACCCATTTTTCTTTTCTGGAACATTTTATGTGAAGACATCCTTCTTAAGTAAATAGGTATGCAGTGCTTATCTGTGCTATAAATCTTAACGTAATCTGTTAATAATTCATGCAATTCTATTGTTCAGTAGAGTTTCAATTTAAGGCCTGTTTCCATTGCTGCATTGCGGTGTGTATGCATTTCTTCAATTAGTGAGCGACTTCACTTTGATTGACATCTGCAATCCGGTCAATGTGCAGTGACGGATGATGTACGGATGGAGTTCAACAATGTTCAACTTCTATCCATATATCTGCGGATGCGTTCGGGTCACGTGGTATAAGGAGCAATCAGGTGTTGTCACCAAAAATTAATGGCGGCAGAAGTAGCGATTAACGCTTGCTTAGGGAAAGAATGTTTTGCTAAAAAAAACTTATTTCTGAATTAACATTATAGCGAGAAATCTGCGTGCTGAAAAAGACAGCAATCAGACGAATTTAGTTTTAGAAAAAAAGATAAGAAAAATAAGATAGCTGCAACTACAGTACTTGTTCGCAGATAAAATCAGGTGTTCAAGAAATTCAGTTCAAGAAAATCAGCGGCAAAAATTATAATTCCAAGTTCATGAAATAGCAACATTTGTCCTGATAATTATTTCCTAGTTCTGCATACTCATTTACCTTTAATGAAAATGAATTTCTGACTATATCAAACTGCTATAGCAAATTAGATATGATTAAAAGATTTGTTAATTTTTCTTTTGAAACAGGTAAAAATTAAATTGTTAATTATAAATTAAATTTGATAGCCTTTTAAATATTCTTCTGAATTAGAGTATGTTAAATTTGTATTTCTCTATTTATAAATATATCTTTTTGACTAACATATATTTGTAAGCACATGAAATATATTTTTAGCAGCCCATTTAACTTCAATCGGAATGCCGCTTTAAAAGATAATGCCTTTTGTAAAAAATGTACTAGAAGCTGAAGAACAAACTCTGGTGAATTTTTTAGGCTATAGTACACTGAAGTAGGACCAAAAAATTTACTTTTAAGAATTGATTTACTTGATGATTTATATAAGCAAAAATATGCAGATGACTTCCGTGGGATGCTAGCTTAATGTTAAAGCTGATAGTAACAACGTTTACCTTTTGGGGTCGTGAGTTCGAATCCTATACGCTTTTTGCACCCTGACTGCAACGTTCTTAGCTTTTTGTTTCAATTTGATCTGTATTCGTGTTTTATAATTTATTTCTATCATTATATACATTAAATATATTGTTTTATATATGCTCTTATTTATTTAAATTTTCCCCGCAAAAAAATTTGAAAATTATGTAATACGAATTTAAAGCATACCCTATACATATATATTTGAATTTAACAAGCATTCTCTATTCATAAAAAGCAAATTTAAAGTTAATTAAATTTAAATGAAATTTAATGCAAACAAATAAATGATTAATTATTGCTGAGAACTAATCTACAATATCATTTAAATTCTGAGAGCATGTGTAAATCAAGTGCAAATATCAAAATCCATGAATAAATATATAATTACAAAAATTTATATATTTAAATTTAAAAAATTTATAAAAATGCATAAGTGAATTTTGATGATATTTGCACTTTATTTACACATGCTCTCAGAATTTAAATGATATTGTAGATTAGTTCGCAGCAATAATTAATCATTTATTTGTTTGCATTAAATACCATTTAAATTTAATTAACTTTAAATTTGCTTTTTACGAATAGAGAATGTTTGTTAAATTCAAATTTCATTCCTTGCAGCAAGAGGAAGAAGAGAATTATTTAAATTTAATTTAACTTTACTATTTATTCTTTTGAAACCCTGTACATATATAAATATATTTTCATTTCACTTTTATGTGAATGTACATACATGTGCTCAGACTTTGGGATGTTTACGGCTCTAAACTTTCATTACCAATTAACAGTATTAATGCCCTAAACATGATTTAACAAAAAATTACTATAATAATTGCTTTTAAATTCAGTCCTCTCCAGCAGAAGTGCAGGAATTAATTGATTAAATATTTTCATTTTCTTTACCTAATGTGTGTATATATAAAAAGAAAAAGCTTATTTTTATAACTTCTTATATAAAAAGAGATATGAATTAAAAAATTTTAATTAAAAATAATATTTTATGGATTATGCATAAAATATAACTGCTCATAGTGCATTTTAAAATAAATGAGATTTCTAATAAATTATCCAGCTATGACTCTGAAGTATGCGGTATACGAGCATAGCAAATGTGTAAATATTGTGAACCTTTCTTTACATTTGCTCTGTATTTTTAAAGTACCAACTATTTTTTAATTCGTTTAACTTTTTTTTATTTTTTTTATTTGTTTATTTTTTTCAGTAACAGTACATTTTAGTTTTAATAATATATATATTTATTTCATTAATATTTAAGGCTTCTAGAAATGCAAAGAAATTTTTAAATTTTACTTCAGCTTCTATGCAATTAGTGATGTTCATAATATGCCTTATAACCTTATTAAAAATTGCTAGCGTACTTTACTTTTGCAGTTCATAAGCAGAAATAAAAATTTCCAATAACATGGTATTTATTTAGTAAACAAAAATTTTCTGTGTTTTACGTCAGGAATCATATCAAATCCAAAACAAACAATACTCACTTAAGCGGGAAAAATTCAGATATTTAGCGTTGTAACTCATGAACTGCTTGTTTAGCGCCAAAATGTTACAGTGACACCTAGCGGCGGAAAATTAAAATAATCTACGGATATGCGGCAGTGGAAACGCTTGTACGGATGTCGTACGCGTGCCTTCAATTGACTCAATGCGTTCGTACGCAGTAGTGGAAACAAGCCTTTAGAATCATTAAATTAGATTTCCTTTCTCTCATCAAGACAGAAGAAAGTGACACCTCAAATAAATCATAAAAGTGAAGATTCCTATTACTTTACACCATTCTGATTCCGGTTACTTTATGAATATGGCCTTTATTCAGTTTTCATTTGCTTTTGTCTATCTTTATAATAGTAGAACTTTCTTCTTTGTTGTTCATTGGCTAACAGAAATATTTTTTATTCTCCTTTATAATGACCCACTGAGATGATCGTCGATACCCCAAAGGACTAAAGTCATTAATCTAAACTTTCTTACAAAACAAACATCATAGTCTATATATACAAAGCTTATACAAAGTCAGATCTTATATATACAAAGGAATTTAAACGATAGCCGATTAATTACAGTTGCAGTGAGCAGCTCTCACTTCTGCTTATGCTCGCTGGTAATACCTGCTGTGTCTCTATTCTTAAATCACAGCAGTTCTTTTTTTTTATGTTGCCATTCTGGACAACACAACTTTTCTTTTACTCATATCTGACAAATCTTACAATTCCCTGCAAGCACACTCGTCACCTTAGAGACAATTTAAGTTGCTGAGAGTCCAGAAAAAGAGTGAAAATACAGTAACCAAAAAATAAAATAAATAATTGAAAAAAAAATTCGAAGGGTGTCATATTTTAAATTATGTCTGAAGGGACTTTCTTTTCAACGTTTTGTGTGTTACATTTATTTATTAAGTATCATGTTCTATATACTCAAACTATAAAATTCAGTTCAACAGCAATATCGCAAATGAATTTTAAAATGAGCATATCTTTAGAATTTCCGATACACAGTCTTGTGTGCTGGAGATAAAAATGTTTTTTCGTACAGTGTTGCCATTTGCTTGCTTTAAAATTGGTTAGTTTTTTTAATCAAAAATTCGTTGAAGTGTTACAAAATCTGAAATCTGTAATGAAACAAATTTCAAATCCAAATTAGGGCTTCTATATGCCTATATTGTATGAAAGATTACGTTATTCAAATTTTGATGACTCTGGGCAAAACAATTAAATACAAGTGAGAGCTGCAAAATACGTAGCTCCCAAAAAAATTATTTAGTGAACACAAAACTAACATAAAAATAGATGTGAAATTATGCATATAACATATATGCACTGTCAGAAGTTATTATTACAATATTAAATTAATACTGTTGGAAGTATTTTAAATTTGTGTTGTAAAAATGGGCTTTCTTTATAATTTAATTTTGCTTATGAGTCAACTGATAACCTTGATAAGGCATCAGCATTCTTCTGTGAACTGCCTTTGCAGTATGTCACGGTCATGGTGTAATGCTAAGGCCCAGTGAGACAGTTTAGCACCATAAGGGGCACTTTGGGTCAAGTAGGTGAGGGGATTGTGGTCAGACCCAATTTGAACTTTGGCACCAAAAATCCATATGTCCAATTTTTTCAAGCCTTCGATGACGCAAAATGCTTCTCTTTCAATGGTTGACCATCGTTGTTGACGGGGAGTTAGTATTTTGCTGAAAAATGCTATTGACATTTCTTTGCCATATTCAACATTTTGTGCTAAACATGCTCCAATTTCAAATGCAGATGCATCTGTATAGAGTTGAAAGGACTTGCCGATGCCTGGAGTATGCAGGGATATCAATTTAATCAGCTCTTCTTTAAGTTTGTTGAAAAATGCTTCCATTTTAGAGTCCCACAGAATATTATTTGCAACACCTTTTTCTTAAAGTTTGTTAAAGGCAAAACTATTTCAGAAAAATTTGGGCTATAATCCCTGTAGTAACTTGCTAGCCGTAAA